AAAACCAATTCCAAAGAGAATGTAAAATGAGATATTTTACCCTTTCAATACTTTGAGACACCCCATCAAAGGTTCTCCTAACCAAATCTGCCATAAGATTACGTTTCTGAAAATTTCCCAAATCACAACATCTTTTTTTGGTAATCCCTTGTCAGAAAGATGGTTAATAATGTTGATGAGATTCAAAGGTATCATGAGGAAAAAACCCAATAGAGAGAAGGCCCAGTGCCATAAGCTAGAGGCAAAAGAACAGTGAAGGAAAAGATGAGAGTAAGATTATTTATCATTTTTGCACATCAAGCAGATGTTTGGAAGAATTTTACCTGTCTTTTGCAAATTGTCTATTGTTAAACATTTCCTTTGACATGCAACACATAGGAGGTCTTGGATTTTAACTTGAACTGGCCATTTCCAAATAAAACCTTAAGAGGTATCAACAATACGGACCCGATCCATAAAAAGGAGCCTATACACTGATTTGACCAAAAAACGTCCGTTAGTTTCTGATTCTCATATGACCAAGTCTTCAGCATTAGAAGTGATGTAAACTTGTTCAAGTAGTTGGGGGAGATTATGAAGCTGTGAAATAACCATGTCCGATAGTCTATTGTAACAGCATCCGATGTTCCAGACCATACAATTAGAGGGGGAGAGGGAAATCAACTCTGAAAGTTTTGCATCAGGTTGAGCAACTCTGGCAAAGAGGTCAGCATAAGTAGAAGAAAAATGTGCATCACCAAGCCATTTGTTGAACCAAAAAAGAGTGTTATCTCCATTGCCAATAAGCCGTCTGATGTTGCTCAAAACAATATTTCTGCAGCTATAAATATCATTCCAAATCTGTGAGGTGAATTTGCCTCCTCAACCTTTTTTTAATCGAGTGGCTGAGATGATCGAAATCATATTTAGCAATTAGCACATCCTTCCAGAGATGAGAGGAGTCTTGAAAGATTCTCCACCACCATTTGGAAAAGAAGCACCTAGTTTACAAGTTTAAGCTTTTTGATACCCAAACCCCCTGGCATTGACAGCATACACACCTGATCTCAGTTCACCAGATGAAAATTGCTGCAGTTATCCTCCATATTACCCCAAATTAAGTTTGGCATAAATGTTTCAATAAGCTGGATTACTTCACTAGGTATTTGTAGGATTGACATCAAGTAAATAGGAAGATGTGCATAAGTGGATTTAATCAAAGTGATATGCCCACCAAAAGATAAAGTCTTGGCCTTCCATAGGTCAATTTAACATGATAACTGTGAATAAAAGGGTCCCAGGCTGCACGAGTGTGCGTACGATCCGAGATAGAAACCACTTAATATTTAAGGGGAAACTTCTGAACTCTGCCACCCAAAATTGAAGCAACAGAATCCAAAAGGCAGTTAGAGCAAGAGATACGCACAATTGAAGTCTTATGGGAATTTACCTCTTAAACCATTTAACTCTTCATCTCTGTTTCCAATAAATTTCCTCAATCCTAAAGAGATCATGTAGCTTATTAAACAGAGAATTTTTATTAACAATCATCTCATCAGATAAAACTTGGTTTTCCTGAACAGAATTTTCAATCATCTCTAAGTCCATCAAAGTGGAATCAATCTTGCCTTTAAATTGATACTGGTTTGCTTTTTTCCAAGAGATGAGTTTGTGCTTTAGGCAGATTAGCTTCTTATGAAAACGGAAGCCAAAGCTGCCCAAAACATAACAACTACCCCGAGTATGATTGATCATATCCACAAGTTCAGGCTCATCTAGCAAGTGAATGTCAAAACGAAAAGGTCTAGGCCCAAATAAGACCTCCTTAGTATGAAGACAGATAGGGAGGTGATCAGATGAAAGTTTGGTAAGAACTAGTAGTAGGAAGATCTAATAAATCATTCCCCATAATGAAGTCATTAAATAGATGCATATGGGAATTATATTGGGAAAAGTGGAAATTTCATCTGGGTGGGGAATAAGGTTAAAATCCCATCCAATGCGAACTGGAAGACCCAATGAGGAAATAAAAGATTTCAAATCATCCAAAAAAACACCTTTAAGGGTAGCAACATTAGGCCCACACATTAATAAGCACCCAACGGAAAGACCTGATAAGACCTTCAAAAGTAATTGCCAAGAACCCATCAGATTTAAAAACATCCAAGTAGAGAAAATATGTTGGGTCCCAAAGAACCCAATGACTTCCAGAAAATCCAATGGCATCCACACCCGCAAAACGGATAGAACCATTACCCCATAGAGTCTTGACATCCAAAATAGAGGGTGAAGCACACTTAGTTTCTTACATAATAAAAGCAAAAGGTGTAAATTTAGAAATCAAGAAATTGACCTCCTTCTTGCGTCAATAAGCATAGAGACCACGCACGTTCGAACTGATAATCTTCATTGACAAGATGAAGGTTCACCAGGTCCCTCGAAGCCACCTTCTTCATGTGGAAAAAAAGAGCTGAACGAATAGGTGTTGCCGCTGCGACTAGAAGAGGACTGGGTCTTTGAAGTCATAGGACCTGTCTTGAAAACCACTCCATCTGAAGGAGAAACTGAAGAGCCCCGAGAGCCACGAGCAGCGAGTCTAGCCGATGAGCACACATCTTTAGAGTTCCCTTCAAATTGGGTTTCAGTAGTACCTTTGAGGCAGGTAAGGAGACCTCTAGGTCATCCGTCAGATCAGAATAATGATGCACAGGGAGCTTGGCTAGGTCTGTCCGAGTCTCATTCTTTAATTTTTTGGACATTTTTTGGACCACCTTAACCGCTGCATCCATGACTGCAACCACCACCTTCGGAGGAGCAACGAAAGTAGCGCCCATACCCTTGAATATACGATTAAAAATTACATGGCTGGGGTTGCTTGGTAGAGTCTTTGAATGATGCTCAGTCACGTGAATAGGCTTGGAATCAGCCGTAGCACCTGGCTGAATTTCAGGGGCCGAGCCTGAAGTGATATAGAACGATGAATCTGAGGCTTCAACAAGGTGTTCCGCAACTATCTCCATTAAGATAGCTTCATCAGCCAGAGGCTCACCAATAGTTTCCAGTCAAAGTGGTGGTACGTTCGGTTCAACCATAGAAAGAGGGACCGCAACAAACACAAGGTTATCCATCACAATTATGGTTCCAAAAGCCAGTTCACAAATGGTATTGGTGTAGACAACCTCATCTTGAACAAAATCAATGATATCAACAACCACAACCGGCCAAAAGGCAGCAGGCGACGGTGTCAAATCCGGAACCCTAGAACACTACACAGAAAAACGGAAAGGAAGAATCCTCCAATTGAATATGGTGAAGAGAAAATGAAGAGCAGAAAGAGGATGACC